GATATTTGTTTTTTATTAAATATATAATTAAAAAAATAAATATATGATAATTTATTGAGTTTATTTCATGCGTTCCATCTATCTACATTCTATTACTTTTTTCAGTTTTTAACAAGCGTATTGTATTAAATTATGCTCTATTATTATTTGTGCATAGAATAAAATTAAACATCATATGTCTCTTGATTTATTCTATGCGTAATAAATAATATGCATAGAGAGAGAGAGAGAGAGAGAGACAAGTATATCTTGCCTGATAATGTCATCGAATCAAAACATTTCATAATTTTAGTTTAAGAACGCGACTTTAGGATGACGCTTTTAAAAATACGCAGAAACGAAGATCTCGTTGGATTCTCAATAAAACACGTTTTCGAAGGATAAAAAGTGTTTCCGCTGAAGTCCCTCGAAAGCGAATCTTTTTATTGGCTGACGACGAAACGTCATCGGTTGAAATCGCGGGCAGTTTTCGCGACGATTTTCCCATCTACATTGTAATCCCGCTCGTGACACACGGACGGGCGCTCGCGCGCGCGCGCGCATTCATTACGAGCCGCCGCCATTTTGTCACGTTTTATTTCTAAACGCATCCCCCACCAGATTGAAAACAACCTAAGGTCGACGCTGGACTCCCTCGATCGCGTACGGGTGTTCTTTGGTTAGGTTACTGGCTGCGTCGTAACCGTCTGGCTCTTTAACAGTAAGTAAAGTTGACGTTCCGGGGAGGCGCCGTGTCTCGCGCACCGATCTCTCGCCCCGAAAGCGCGGCGACGCCGCGTCCCCGTGGCGCGCGCGTTTTCCCCGCGATGGAGGAGAAAGGGCAAAGAGCGGCCGAGAGACGGCGGTTCCGCTCGCTCGTTCGCGACTCGTCGTCTTTGTCCTCGTCATCGTCCTCGAGAGGCACGTCGCGACACTCGTCGTCGACCCCTCGTCGTTTCCGACGTCGCGAGATACCAGCGTGTTCGCGCGCGACCGGACGACGCCACGTCTCCGACATATTTCCCTCTCATTATAACCTCTCTCCGCCACAAACGCCATATAACCTATATAATTATAACCTTAGAGCCTGAGACGTCAACACAATCGGCGACGCAACCACGACGGCCGATCAGCCAAGTTCGGGCCGTTCACTCCGATCATCGTTTGTCGTATGGTTTTACGGAAAAAGGGAGGGGGAAGAGGACACGCGGGGTTTTGCTGATAATTATTCGGTGTATGTTCGAGAATCGAATCGTTGTCCCGAAAACGTCGTTACGTGTCAGTGTCCGGGGATCGTTGATCGCGATTCCTCGACGATGGCTCGCCTTCTCTTATGATGTAATCTTGAATCCGCAGAGGATCATCCTGCTGCGCGAGATACGTCTCGAGACGAAATCGACGATTTTGCGGTAAAAATTTATACAATTGTACGCAAACGTCGAATAATAAATCACTCCATTGTGTTAAATTTGCGGGATACAATCTGTGTAACAGGTTTGTGAAACTGAAAGACTTGTTCGTGTAATGATTTTGCAAAATCAGTTATAGTTTAATATAGTTTATACGATTATGAATATCATAAGATCATGACGCAAGCTGGCGTGACACAAGTACTTACTAATCCATAATGTTGCAGTGATTTCAGTGATCAAGTAGTTTGAAGATCAAACAAAATGGACGTTGCCGGGGATCTAAATTTGCAATGGGTGGGAGACGTGGAGCTTCACGAGGAGGTGATATGCGGTCTTGAAGCACAGTTGGTTGCTTCAGAGGAGGAGGTGATAGGCGCTTGCGAGGAAGTGGCAGTGGAGGAAACCATTGAGTCTGTTCCTGATGTAGCACCTACGACAGAGTCTGAGATACTGATGGTACCTCAGACTAACGATATGGAATCTATTTATATTGTGCCACAAGATCAGGGTCATGATTATCTGAATATACAGGTGACAGAAGAAGTAATAGCCGACAATTGGGACAGACCTGGTCCAGATGATGGGTAAGTTCAATATTGATATATACATTGATACATAATTGATGCATCTCTTTAGCCAAGTCGTGTATTTATTATTTTAACAATTCGATATTTTAATCTAGGATGTCTCTATGCTCTTAAAACTTTTTGATCAAGATTCTACAGTTGACTTTTTCTTAATTTTTTCAAAGCTTGCCACAACGTAATAAATTATTCCATTTGAAGGGTCGAGATTCCAGAAACGAAGGTGGCGCATGACAATTTGCTGGAATATGATGATATGGAGATACCTTTGCCGATCGATCAAGACTCGTATCAGAACGCCCGGCCGTATCCATGCGACTTCTGCAGTCGTAGGTTCCGCAAAAAGGCAAACCTGATGAACCACATGGTGGCGCATCAGACAGATCGGCCGCATGGTTGTAACTTATGCGGAGCGCGTTATGTGCGCAAGTGCGACTTGAATAACCACCTGAAGATTCACGCATATCCGCCGTCGCGGGATGGTCTGGAGGACGAGTTGAACGACGAAGACTCTCTAGTAGCCGAAGACGAGGATGCAACGCCAAGCGGTACCAAGGGCAGGCGCAAAAAGGTGCAATCGAGTGCGCCGCGCAAGCGGAAGAGTAATACCGCCGCTGGTCTGCCGAAGCGCAACAACATTGAAGATAATATCAAGATGGAGATGGGCAAGTATGTGTATAAACCGTACGATAACTACGAGGACACGCTATCGCTACTTGAAGACGACCTGACCGATGGTGATTCTGCCCGCAGCGGCAATTACGCGTCCAGTTCGAGGTGGCAGATGGAAGAGATGTCTGTCGAGCAACAATCACCGCAGTGGCCCGTCACCGATCCGACCAAACCCTACGTCTGTCAATTCTGCGGCGTTGGCTTCGCTAGGGAAAAGGCGCTGGCCTCACACGCGCGTGTTCATGGTGGCGACAGTCCGTTTGAATGCACTTCGTGCGGCGAGATGTTCTGGGACGTCGGCACTCTGCGAGAACATGTGCGCGTCAAACATGGCGGCACTATCCCGCAGCAAACATCCGATGCGGAGGAATATGACAACGATGCCACTTATACAGGCGACACCGAAAGATTCGGCGAGTTTTATTGCAACACCTGCGGGGTACCGTTTCATCGTTTGGATCTGCTCAAACGCCATCAAAAGTAAGAGATCTAATAATTATCACTTTTTAAATGCAATGGTTTGGATATGAGACGGAAATAATTTTTGTATAAAAATAAATTATCTCACACACACACACACACACATACGCACGCGCAGAGTAATTAAAGATTTATAGATTTAAGAAAGATAACATTTTAATGGAATTATATTTAAAGCTTACTACTTTAACAGTTTCAATTAAGCGTCACCACATGATACTTAATTGAAACTATTAAAGAATTATATAAATGAAACTTTTCTCGAAATTTAAAAATATTGAGTTTTTTTGAAATAGATCTTTTTACATATTGTACATAAATTTTAATAATTTATTATAGTTAAAATATTTTTAAAAAATACTAATTATTTGTGTATATATAAATTTACACATAGTTTTAATAATTTTAAAATGTATATTGCGAGTATTAATATCAGCAATCTGTTTATGTAAAATTTGATATCGTGTATATAGAGCTCATATCAAGCAAGAAGTGGACACAATGGAGGGTTCCAGTCAGCATCACGTATGCAATGTTTGCGGAGAATGGTTTGAGGAGGCATTAGCATTATTGGCACATGCAGAACTTCATGCTTCAAGGTATAGAACACTCTTGTAACTTTAATTATCTAGCAATCGACATAATCGCGAAAATAGTATTCAATTTTATCTAATTAATAGTAATATTCTGTCAACAAAATTTTCATTTATCAAGCTCCAGAAAGAGAGAGAGAGAGAGAGAGACAAAAAGAAAGAAAATATTGATGATAAATGAAATATATTGCAATAACATATGTTGATCGTATACGAAGCAACTCGGGCTCTCCCGTTTCGAATGAATTCGTAGCGCGGTAGGCGTATATATACATATATACTTATCTAATATCTATTATCTAATCTTTATTTAAAACAAGATCTCCTAGTCGCCGTTGTCTGTTGTGCGGGGCGAGATGCCGCGACGAAGCTGAAGTTGCAGAACACGTGCAGCAAAACCACGCTGAGGACGCGCCGCCGAACACGTGTACGTTATGCGGAAAAACATGCAAGGACAAACGCAGCTTATTGAAACACTCGTGGGTGCACAATGTCGACAAGACTTTCAGTTGTACAAAGTGTGCAAAACGCTTTCACAGTAAAGCTAGATTGCGAAGGTAACTGTAATAAATATGACAAAATTTTTGCTGCTTTTTCTGGACATATACATTTACGTCGTATTATATTCCATAATAGTGTGTGTACAGCCAAAGACATATATGTAATATCTTATCTGTAAATCTTTAATTCTTTATCTTAAATAAGATTCTTCGCACTTTATATAAATAATCACGGACAAATAATTGTGTTATGTGCAGACATATGGTATCTCATCGTAACAAAATGGTAGCTTGTGATGAATGTGGAGAAGAATTCCCCGATGGAAGAGCTCTTGTGAGTCACCGTCATTCACATAACAAAGAACTGGGCGGCCGTTCGTTTCCATGTCGCGAATGTGGCAAAACCTTTGGAAGTCGCAGCTCGCAACAGATCCACATACGTATTCATACGGGTGAGAGACCTTACGGCTGCCGGTTCTGTTGGAAGGCCTTCGCCGACGGCGGTACGTTGAGAAAACACGAGCGCATCCACACCGGCGAGAAACCATACGAATGCGCAATCTGTTCTCGGGCTTTTAATCAGAGAGTAAGTTTATTGTTAGAGTGTACAAAAATGTAAACGGAAAAGCTTAAATAAATTGTAATCTAGCGATAACGTCATGTCATTTTAAACGATATTAAAATTTTTGAAATAGAACATTAGAATAATGTTAAATCGCATTCTTTAAATATTTTATGTTTAATGCACATTAAGAAAGAAGTTTTTCCGTTAAAAGATATTTTGAGTAGAATAAATAATCGAAGCTCTAAATTTCATATCCTGTTCAACATAGGTGGTTCTGCGGGAACACGTTCGCGCTCATCATTCCGGCCCGGATCCAAAATGCGTGGGCAGTGTGACGCCGTTTTTATGCAAGGTATGCGGCATGTCATACGGTACGTCTGAGGAAATAGTGGCGCACATAGTACAGCACTGCGACGACAATACTGCGTTAAGTCGCCAGCCGCAGACCGGACCACGCAAGTATAAGAGGAGACGCAAGTTAAAGCCACACGAGACGAACACAGTGGTACGTAAGAACGAGTTTTCATACGACATGATGGAAAGCACTACTGGCGGCGGTGGCAGCATTGGTGGTGGCGGCGGTTCCGACTCGGAGGACAACACGAAGCGAAAACTTGGCAAGAAAAACAAGCAACATCGGTCGAATGTCGAGGAAGGTTACCAGAATGTACTGAAAAGCTTCGAAAGCTCGCTACAAAATATAAACTCGATCGTGAGCAACTCCAAATTGAACGCATCCAAATCGAAACTTTCGAAGAAGAAACTGCGCAAGGAGGACAAGAAGGAGACGCAATCGTCGAACCAATCGGGCCGGCCGAAGATGATACACACGCAAAAGACACGGGTGCCGGTGGAAGTGGGTAGCGATGGGGCGAAGAAAGGCCAGAAGACGAAGACGATGGTAACGCGGACGCCGAAGGTGATGCCAAACGAGCACAAGTCTGGTATTTTCCCTGGCGGTGAAAGGAATCGACCGCGTACCAAAAACGTCAGTTACCATATCGAGGGTAAACTGCAGGTCACACCGGCAACATTCTCGACAAAACCGATAAAGGAGGACGTGTCAACGCAGCAGCAACAGCAGCAGTTGTTGGTGAACATTAAGCAAGAACCAGGCGTACCAAAGGCTACCAGCGACAGTCGCAGGAACAACAATGGCAATATTCTTGCCCTTGGCAAGAATCAAGAATCGTCGATCAAGAAGAGGTCGTCGACCACCTTGAAGAGATCCAAGAGGCAGAAAACGATAGTGAAGCAGGAATTGAACGAGACAGTCGAGCCGGATGCGGAAGAGCAGCAGCAGCATTTGCAGCTACGGAACAACAATAATAATAATAATAACATGGAGAACAGCGGCGATCCATCACGACTAATGGAGCACACGGTGGACGGCAGTAATCTGGAAGTTGCTTTTGAGGCGAGCGTTGTCACCGCTCAGGAAGAGGACCAGGATGAGGAAGAAAGCATATTGCCGCATGATGCGACCGAAGAGATGGACAACGTGGACAACAGCGTTAAACTCAGTGTGAAGGTGGAATCGGCGCCGCAGCCGAGGATGCTCGCTGTGCACAGTGTTATCACACCAGTGGATGATGTCCCGGAGACAATAATACCGGACGCGGTGGAGTACACGTGCGAGATGTGCGCTGCGGTGTTTTCCAGTCGTGCTGAGTTATTGGTGCATGTGCCGATACATATTTGATTTAATAATTTATCCGAGCCGGAAAGCGGCGCGGAAGTTTGTTCTACTTCTTTAAGCATATTAGTTTAATCAAATCGAATATTTCTTTATCACGGTCGATGAGGTTTGTTGTTTCGCAGGAGACGACGATCGTTGATCCTCGCCTCTATCACCACTACCATACTCACTATCATCATTTCTCCTTCCCAATTATCCCATCTTTCTCGTTTTTTGTTCTGCTAAGGGTCATGATTCAATCATCTATACTTATCGTTCTATCGAATGCACTCGAATTTTCGCGTTTCGCGCATTAGAGGATTTATCGGCCATTGTTTAATTTTTATCATCAATTTGTGATATGTTTCTCTTGTATTATATATTCTTCGCGAATATTCAAGTTTCAACTTTGATGTTTGAGTAGATACAGATAACTGATTATACCAAACTATTAATGACGGAATGAACATGAGGTGCATATGTGATATCGTGAAATGCTATATATCACTATATCATATATCGTGATATATGACATATGAGAAGTATTGTATTTCCTTTAAACGAAAACACATTTATCCCACATTGTATCCGACATGTGGATGTCAGTTTTTGTATTATCGGAATTTCTATCTGGTCTAGAATTTGTAATATTGAAACGTGACGTGACAAGATTATAGTTCTACGATTTTCTACATGAGAAGTGCTATGACACGAATTGAATCGAGAAGTAAAATATGGAATATGCAGATATGAAAACTATGCAATTCTTTTTGTACGTACAATACGATACTAATACGAAAAGTAGAATTCTTAACATTGATATGTGTGCGAGTACATCGACTAGAATGGACGGTTAATTTATTTTAATAATGAGCGAACAGAGGCAAGGAGTAAAGTGTTGAATTTCCGTCGCGGGCCACCTTTATTTTAGTACTTGTGAATTTCAATTGCAATTTAGGATTTTCCGCGGTGAAATCTTTATTGTAATTATAAGTCTGTTATTCTATTAATTATGACGTTTGCTTCTCTATTTTTCTAGAGGAGAAAAAAAGATGAAAATTAATTGAAAAAAATATTTATTTGTTACCACCAAGTAATTATGATAATGACGCGAAAGATGTCGCGAAACTTGAGAGATGATTGTATGAACGCAGGAAATTCCAGATGATTAACAGTGACTATGTAAAAATCGTTAAAAACGTGAATTGCTCTCAAGAATTAATAACTGTATAGCATTGCACGTAGGGTATTTGTATGAATGTCAGTTTTTATTTTTAGCACATAATTTTAGTTTATATACGATTATTTATATCGTGACCAGTGACCATGATCGGCCCATTGAATGAGATGCGATATGATAATATTATGATATTATTACGCGTATTGTTAGAGTACGAACAGAAAGATGGAGATAATCAATTCTAAGCACTGTCTCGAACACTAAAGCAATCGCCGCGAAATATCCACAAATTTAATAAAATTGAATTTTCTTTATATCTTTGGACACGTTGAATTTTACAAAATTAACAACTTCGTGTTCTCTTGTACATAAAATTTAGTTACGCTCTTAAGTTTTTTTGATATATATTATAAGAAAACCGATATCACACATATATACATATTATATATACATATATATATATATACATGATATATACATATATACATATATATATATATATATATATGTTTCCATTTGCGTGAATGTCTAACAATTTGAACGCAAAAAGCTAATGATCTATTGGTTTTTTTTTTTTTTATTGGATACTTTTTCTTGATTTTCCACTGTTAAGCTTTATTCCGATTTAAATATAAGTAGCATATATAATTGGGATTAATGTAGGAGAGATTTTTTAATGCATAAACGCGTTTTTAAGTTACCGCCTTTCACATCCACCTCTGTCAATTGCAAAGACTTTATCTTTCTCACGTACACATTACACGAGTTGACGTTGCTTTTGTCACTTATCGAAAGCACTCAGTTTTATTTATTTATTTTTTTTTGTAATTGTGATTCTAAAATTATTTTAAAATTACAATCACACACATATACAATTAAATTATTATAAAGTTACTCTAAAATTACAATTTCTGGGACAAGTATGATATATATGAATCATTATTTTTCAAAAATGTACCCAATTCCTTTGCGAGATAATTAGCCGACGAAGAATATATCGGATTCAACACTTTATGCACGCTCTTGCCATGACTTCGAATTTTTCAAATTATTTAGATAACACTATTATCTCGCTAACGACATTTTTACTAACATACGTGTCCTTACGATTACAGTAAATATATTTAGCTATCAAAAGTAAAAATTTTGTATCGCACCGATAACTTTAGCGTTAGTAGAAAAGAAGGAAAATACATACATTGCATATTTACGTTACAGTAGAATGGTCGTAGAACTTCCTGAATGTTTAAAAAGAAAGAAAGAACAATACTCGAAGGAATGCTCATCTAAACGCTGACGTGTATATTCTAGACGGACATTTGTATTCATACTTGCACGGCGTTAATTAAGGCAACCAATCAAAAAAAAAAAAAAAAAAAAAAAAT